CTGTCAGGGACTAAGTGCCCACCAACATGTACTTGATATTGTGATTCGTCTGAAACTTGTATCGTATATGTGTTTCGTATGTCTTCCTTCAATATATACTTGGGGCCGAAGCGTAAATTGCGAGCTGCGCGACCTGCAGGTTCTCGGTCTGGCGTGCACCATATTGTATTGGTTATGCGTTGAAGCGTTGCACTACGTAGCAACACAACTGCCGTGTCCTGCTCGAGCATCGACGCAAGCTACGCGAACGTGATGTTCTTCAAATCGCCCTTCGATAGAGATCGGCCCCGATAGTTTATGAAGCTCGCCCCGTATGTGTGCTGCGGCGACCTCGAACGCGTCGAAGTTGTCGAATTTTCCAATTACTGTGGAGACTGCGCGCTTCCCATGGTAGTGATACTCGCTCGCCGCATTCTGCGAGAGATGTGATGCTGACGTCGGTGTGGTATGTTTTATTGTTTGAAACTCTTTAGTACTAGTGCCCATATGTATATATATATATATATATATAGCTTGTACATTCACGAATCTCTGCCAGGCTCTTGAAGGGGGCCCCGACAAAGACGATCCCATTTTTCCTTCAATGCGATGCAGCGCGAGGCGGGAAGCACAGGGCTGCCCAGCCGGGCAAGGAGCAAAACACTGTCAGCGATTCGTTGATAGCAGGCCCCTCTAGGAAGCGATCTGCGTGCACAACTGGCTAGGGTACGGGCAGGCAATGGCTGTCCAGTGACGGTTACTGACTGGATCACGGCCGACAAGCTCGAGGTGGGCGCATCCGGTGCGCGAACATTTACCAGCAACTGGGCTACAGCGGCGGCCAAGCTTCAGACATTCGGCGCCAACGTGCCAGAAGGCGATCCTGGTTCTTCTACGCCAGGGCATGCCAAACTGGCAGTAATCGAGAACAACTTCATGGCAGCACGAATGAGACAAGAGTTTCTTCAAGGCAGGTACCTGCCAGATCACAGAGGTGTTAGGGTTCTCAATAGCCACGGGACAATTATAAAGTATGCACAGGCGAATGATTTAAATGCTGAAGTCTAAAAGCTGGTTTCCTACGCTCACTGCAGCCAGGTCCCTTTCCGAAAGGCCGGGGAGGCCGAGGGGGAGGAGGGCGGAGCGAAGGGGGGCGCCTGGCTGCAGAGAACGTGGTGCAAGGGGTGGCTAGCCAGACGCAGCACGCTGCCTTCGCGAGGATCCACCCTCGAATGCGGCGGGCAAAAGCAAGGATAAGATGATTCTCAGCGGCGTGCTGTAATAGATCCAGGCCTAACGCGCTGCGGTCACACCGACGAAGTTGCTTGGTCAGCCGGGCGCTGCCGCAGAACAGCTCGAGGAAAACGCACCGCCTGAATACGCGCCCGTGCTTCGCAGCTTGTCGGAACACGTGAGTGAGGTGCCTATCCACGTCCTTGCCCGAGGCCGCTAGCGCAGCGGCTTGCCCAGGCTGCTGAGGGCCTGGCGGGTGCGCAGGGGCAGGAGATCCAGCACCTTGCCCCCGACCAGGCCGCACTCGACGATCAGGCGGAAGTGCTCCTCCACCGCGCGGCCGAACTCGAGAGTTGAGCTCGGCACCTGGTTCAGCTGCGTCAGCACTCGGGTCTCCTTCCCGTATCTTTTGAGAGACTGGCTGGTGGCCCAGCGCCCCCTCCGCTGGGCGGCCTCCACTGACCGCCTCTTGCGAAGGAGGTCGTCCGAGGCCCCTCCGTGGCGGAGGGGGTGCAGGTGGGGCTCCAGTGCTCCGGGCTCGAGGAGGTCGCAAGCCATCTTGAACTGCTTCCCGAGCTCGCTCGGTGAGAAGGGCCAGAGCGGCGCATCGTCGGGCGTGGCCTGCTTCAGCGCGGCCGCGACAGGGATCAGCCAGTCGTCCAGGTCCAGCAGCGCGGATTCGTCCCAGTTGCCGGTCTTCCCCGGCTGACCCCCCGCGGCATCGGCCAACAGCAGCCCCCAGCGTTGGAACTGCGGCCCCGCCTGAGGGTTGCTGGCGACCAAGTGGCGCCCCAGCAGGCGGAAGCGCTCGATCGGCCGCAGGTAGCACGTGAAGGTCAGGCAAACCCATACCCCCATGCGAAGCTGCCCGACAGCGAGCAGTATTCCCGCCACGGGCAACGCGGCCGCGCGGGGCAGGGGCAGTCTCTGGTGGCCTGGGGCACGGCGCCCCCAGGCTTGGGCGCGCCGGGTGGCTCTCGGCAGGAGCGACCGCACCTGCTTGCCGATCGACGGGTAATGGTGAGCGACCGCTGCGAGCAGCTTGCTGCCGTCGGTGCCCGGGCGGCCGTCCAGGTACAGAGTGTTCTGGAAGGCCGTCAGCGCCGCGTCCAGGCCCTCGTGCGAGTCCCAAGTGATGTTCTGCGTCATGCAGAACAGGCAGAAGTCCGACAGCAGTGTGTGGTAGTGCTTCTCCGTGCTCGGCTTCACCGCCGTGCGCTCCAGCACCGACAGGGTAGGAAGCGCTGGCCTCTCGACCGCCGCCGCGCGGGCCCGCGCGGAGCGGTCCTGGCGCAAGCGCTCGGCCGTCGACCGGCGGCGCTTCCGGCTGTCGGGCATCCCGCGCCGCAGGTAGTGCGGAGCAGCTCGGCCCGCAAGTGGAAGCAGAAGGTCCTGGGGGTTGAGCCTCAGCGGATGCGGCAGCAGCAGCCCCTGAAGAGGCTGGACACGACTTCGCACGCCGATTGGGGCCGCTGAACCAGCCCAACTTCCCCCGCGAGCCCCTGTCAGACGGGTTGAGCTCTGAAGGACACCACCTGGTAGCCACGCGAGTCCCCGTGACCAAAGAGAGGCAGCATACCTTACGCAGAGCAGCTCGAAGATGAATTGACTTAGCCCGACCCTTGCAAAGGCCCAAACATAACGGTAAATTGTCCACGATGAGAACGAGTTAGTTTAGCTCCTAAGTTGTGCGAAGACCGTAGTGCGTGGCGAACGGCAAGCACAGCAGCATCCCCTTCGAGGCCCAAGATGTTGCCCGGGACCACCACCTGAGACGCCAAAACAGTATCCCACTTGGAGGCATCCAAGAGCTTGGCAGGGACCTCCCCGAAGACAGCCGACTTAACCCTGATGTATGACATGATGTCGTCGTCCCCCACGCCCACGATGACATTGTTGGCCCCCGGCAGGTGCTCGGCGGACTCGGCGAAGCCGCTGGAACAGGACGGCAATGGAGACGAAAGAAGAGCGCACAAGCGAGCTTTTTCGGCCCCAGCCACTCGATACCTCCAGCGCTCACTGCACTGCCCGACTTCACCGGCGGTAGCTCGATCTATGTGCCGATGGCAGACGGCCAGCCCAAAAAGGCGAGGCATCGCTGCAGTGCAAGTCCGACGACCACTGAGCTCGCCAGTCGACACGGCAGAAAGGTAACAAGCACCGAACGCGCCAGAGCTCCTGTCTCACACGAGGCCACAACGTGTGCTGGAAGGAGGAATCGAGGTACTTCTGGGTGAAGGCATAGCACTCGTCCAAGAGACACAGCCCCTCGCGACGCAGGAGAGTAGACCACGCGATGTGACCGGTCACGCACTGCATCATCTCACCCGAGGCCTTCCCCCTGCGAAGCAATGATTCGATTCCCAAGCGCAAGCGCCAGATATTCTTAGTTTTCAAACTCACGGTGTGCCCGTCGGTCATCTGCAACCCCACAAAGCTCATCTCCCTCGACGCCTCTGAAATCTCGTGAACGACAAGTCCCTTAGCCTGGAGATCCGAGATGATAGCCCGATTCACCTGGTTTGCGACGTCTTCACTCGCAGAGAACACGAAGAAGTTGTCGACGTAGGCGGCAGCCGCGACAGCGGTGGGTGACGAGAGCCTCGGTGGAACCTGGCCGTCCTCAATCACCTGGTGGTCCTGGATCCCGACGTCCCGGAGCGATTGCCTAACTACAGCCTGGCACAGATGCATAGCCCAGCTCCATCCCATTGGCAGGACGACAAGACAGGGTGAAACCGGTGCGCCTGGACTATGCGGGACCCCATCAATCTCGTGGACCCCTACTAGGTCGGAAGATATTGAGGGGAGGCTAAAGTACTCCTCGAGGCCATCGGGGGCCCTCAGGTGATAAAGCGCACAGCTTAAATCCCCAGACGCCCCGAAGGCCCCCTCGGGGCCAGTTTGAAAACCCGAGAAGGCCGACGGGGTGGGCAGGCGGGTCGAGGCCGCCTCTGCGAAATAGCAGTTGCAAGCTCTAGTACCGAAAATGGCGCGGAGCTGGCCGTTGCGCTTCGCGACAAAAAAATACTCCTAGAAGCCCAGGCCGGGGAGGCGCACGACGCCGCGTGAGCATTCCACACCGCTGAAGCTGAATTAGAAAGTCTCTATAACGGGAAGGAGAGCGAAGGGCAGGGTCAACGTAGGGGCCGTTCGCGCAGACCGAACGGCGCTTGTCCTTTGCTACATCAACCGGCAGAAGCAAATTATCACGCCATGACCTTAGCCAATCACGATCGACCTGGGACAGACACGACTCCACAGGGGTGGGGCTGGATCCGACCTCAGGCCAAGCCACGAGGTGGCGTGCATAAGGCTTTCGGGTAGAGCTATCAGGGTAGATGGCTGACCCGGCAAGAAGCTCGCGGAGGGCTTCCTTGCTGCTTAAATCTGCCGGCTGGGCACCCACCCGCTTGAAACAGTCCAGGACGTGTTGGTGCGCGAAGCGCTGAGACGAATTGAGGGGAGGAGGAGCGAGGCCAGGAGGACTGGAACAGGAGGCTTGCGGGAACCCATACAGCTGGTTAAGGCAACTGATAGACGAGTCAGCCCAGTCCAACATGTGTGCGCGGCGGTGCTCTCTCTGCTAGACTGCGTGGCAAGCGCGACGAGGACAGGAGGCCTCAGTCTGTCTCGACAACAGAGGCAGCGGGAACAGGCCCCTCTGGCGATCGGCTTTCTGCGGCGCCGCCGCCGAGGACGAAAAAGGAGGAGGGGTCGAGCCGGCGCTGTGCGGCTCAGATGACGGCCCAGGGCACCCCCTCCGATGCGCCTGGCCGCGCTCTGGATTATGCATCATTGGTCTTCTTGCCCTTGCGGGCCGCTTCTCGTTCTTCTCTAGCTTTACGTCGTTCCTTCAGCAGGGCATGCTCGCGAGAGAGCTCCTTGGCCACCCAGTCGGTGAGCTCGGGGCACACGCGCACCCCGGCGCGTGCCAGGTCCACGCCGTAGTACAGGTGAGCGTCCCCGATGGCGTCCTCCTTGTGCCCGCTCAGCCGCTCCCTCCAGCGCTCCTCCTGGACCTGAAGCGAGCGGGCCAGGTGCTCCGCAGTCGCGCAGTTGGGCAGGTTAATCTGGTCATAGCAGGCCATCGTCTCGAGCTGGCGGCAGCATCGTTCGTGCTCAGCAACTCCTGCATCCTGTGACTGGAGCTTGGCATCATGCTTCCAGCGCGCATGGCGCCCAGTAGGCGACCCGCCGTTCTGAAAGATGTAACGGCACACCCACATGCAGGAGCGGGGGCCCTTGATGGGCCAGTCCGGGAAGACGTCCTCCCGGAACCCGAGCACGGCCCTCTCGAAGGAAACCTTGCGCTCGCCCAGCAGGTCATACTGGACCGGCACCACCCTCAGGTCAAAGTAGACTCCGAGCCCGCCTGCACCCGCGATCGGCGCCGCGGCGCCCAGAGCCCCGCCAGCCGCGGCTCCTGCGGCGGGGGCCGGGGCGGCTGCCGCCGCCGCCGCGCCGGCAGCAGCGGGGGCGCCCGCGCCTCCTGCCGGGGCGCCCACGGCGGCTGCGCCGGCGGCGTCCGCGCCGCCGGCGGGGGCGGGCCCAGCCGCGGCCGGGGCGGCAACCAGCGCCAGCGCTCCCGCGGGCACCGGCTGCGCTGCTCCGCCGAGGGCGGCGACGAGCCCGCCAAGCCCTGCTGCGGGAGCGAGGGCTCCAGCGCCGGCTCCAGCGCCGCCGGCGGGGGCGCCCGGGGCGCCCGCAGCGGCCGCGGCCGCGGCGCCCGCCAGGCCCGCGCCCGCTCTCCCAGTAACGTTGGGGAGGAGCTGGCCAGGCGGCGCGGCGACGCCGTGCCTCGCGCAGGCAGCGGCCCGAGCGGCAGTGGTAGTCGCGACTGTCGGAATAGCCCGAAACTTGTACAAGGGATCGGCCCCGACACCAGCAGGAGTGCCGCCTGCTGCCGCGCCGGGCGCCACCTGCACCTCCACGATGTCAGGCCCGTTGAAATTCTCATCGTGCTCGTCCCCATCTGGGGTGACTATGGCCACCAAGAACCCGGCATTCTCCACCAGCAGGACGACCAAACGCTCGTGCCAGAGCCGCTGGGCGTAGTTGTAGCGTACGTACACAAAATCGCCCGCTGCCAGGCCGTAAGTCGTCGCAACCGGGTGAGCAGCCATCGCGTCTAGCGGCGAGCCTGGGCTGCCGCCGCTGCCTGCCGCGCCTGCCGCCGAGCCTCCTCAGCCACGTCCTCGAGCGCGGGCGGCGCCGGGGGGCTGACCACCTTGGCCAGGGGCAGCGGCGAGGCCGTTGCCGGGGCCAGGGTCGCGGGCGCCGGAGACCTCGGCGCGGACGGCTCCCTTGCCAGGCCGACCCCGCGCCGTCCAGCGAGGTAGCCTGCACCCGTGGCCACCGCAAGGCAGCCCAGCAAGAAGAGGATCGAGATGCCCTCCTGGTGGAAGGAGCTGTTCGGCGAGAGCTCCAGGCTCGGGCACTGGAGGTGGGGAGCGCACTGGCACTCCGGGCAGCTGGGGCACTCCAGCGACGGGCAGACGCCACAGGTCACCACCGGCTCGCAGGCGGGGCGCTGCTGAGAGCCGCCTCGAACGATGAGCGCAGTGGAGACCCCGCGTGCGATCTCACTACCCACGCGCGCGAGGAACTGATGCATCGGGGTGTGTGACCCAAGAGCTTGAGCCGTAACGAGTACGGCAGAGAACAGACATTGCAAGCATACCGTCATGAAGACAACCATATATATATATATATATGCTCCTCTACTGGTTCTTTCAAAGTGTGCTCCAGGTTCGCCATTCGTATTCGCATGTCTTCAAAATCATTCTCCATATCTTCAATATTCCATTCCAAACTTGTAATTCGGACACCCACATCATCGACGCTCTCTTTGACCGTTTTCTTCACCTCTTGCATCTCGTGCCCGACGGTGCGGACGACGCGCGTGGTAGAGGCCAACTGTTTTTTGAACATCTTCTGGGTTGACTTCGTGGTTACGGGCTCGTTATCATCTTCATCGTCATCGTCGAAGTCGTTCTCGTCCAATAATTGTGCGGGTGCTCCAGGTCCTGCGCTGCTTGCAATTGACGTGGTGCTGGGTCGTCCATGCCATCCAACCCCTGCAGAGGACTACGTTGGCGAGATTCCACGCTGCGTCCTCGCACTCCTTCGGGCATCGCAAGAGTGTGTTTTTGTTTTCAGGCATGCTTGCGAAGCAAGCGGGAGGTTCCCGGACGCGGGTCCTGGAGGCGGTCCCGGACACGGGTCTGGAGGAAGAGCGCTCGAAAATAAAGCTGCGACTTGAGCCTTGAGCCAAAGTGGTCTTGAGCCAAAGTGGCGTGGGGCAAAGTAATCGTACAAATATTTCCGTGCACTTTGTCGCCATTATCAGGGGCCCGCATCGGCGAGACTGCCCATCCAGGCCCTTCCAAGAAACAAGCGCTCAGGCTGGATTAACCATGAGATCGACAGCTGCCCCGCGTAGCAACGGCAATTCAGCAATGCAGTTCCCGTTCCCTTATCCTTTCCGCGCCCAGCCGATTCCAACAGTTGTTCCAGCGGGGCCTCCACGATGACGGCCGCGAACGCTCCGACAGATATTAATCTGGGGATCCAACGGCAGGCGGCAAACTAGCATGCGACATTGGGAGCACGAGTGATCTGGATGATCAATGGCAACCGTTTCAAAAACAACCAACAGTTTTAATAACAGAAAAAACCGAAAAAAGCGTTTCAATAAAAACCAAGACCGCTTCAATAACAAACATGCTTCAATAATCAGGCCCACCCGTTTCAATAACAAACGCAGTGACCAGGCCCACCCATTTCAGTAACAAACACAAGAGTTTCAACAACCGTGCCCGCCCGTTTCAATTGCAAACACAAGTGCTTCAAAAACAAGGCCCACCCGCTTCAATAGTAGACCCAGAAATGTACGGAAATGCCTGCCTGTTGCTGGAACGCCTGCCTGTTCCTGAAACGGTCATTGCCCCCCTGGCGGGCGCAGGGGCGAGAGCTGCCCGACGCGTGGCACGTATGTGCAGGGCGCCTTTCGCCTCGCACCCCGCCTGGCGTTCCTCGTCCTCCTCCCTTCCCATCGTCCTCCTCTTCCTCATCCTCGTCCTCGTCCTCGTCCTCCCTTCCCATCGTTCCTCGTCCTCCTTCCCATCGTTCCTCGTCCTCCCTTCCCCTCGTTCCTCGTCCCTCTTCCTCGTCCTCCTCCCTTCCCATCGTTCCTCGTCCTCCCTTTCCATCGTCCTCCTCCCTACCGCGGGGTTCCCGCAGGGCTTCCGCGATGTTTCTTGGGGCTCCCGTTCCACGCGGGCCGCTTCTCATGTGGTCCCCACTGCGTCACTTTGCAACACTTTTGTTTCCTCTATTTTCTCTTCTTGTTCTTCTTCTTGCTCCTCCCGCCCCCTCTCCCGCTCCTGGCGGGCGAAGCTGATGGCGCTTCTGAAGAGAAAGCGAAGGGGGGGGCGCGAGAAAAAAAAAGACGGAGCGCGCGTGCTCGCGCAAGACTGAACGACAGCATCTGTGCATGTTGGAGTCTTCCGGTCCCAGAAGCTGCCGAACGGGGGAGATCGAGGAATACGTGACGTGCCGGTGCCGCCAACGCGAGGGCGATCATAAAACTGAGTGCGACGTCGACATCTACTGCGAGTGGCGACGAGGGTGCGCGCGCCGAACCGACAAGGGCAATCGCGAGAAGAATATGTCAGCCACCCAACTCAGGAAACGTAAACAGATTGTCCCAGCCGGCGTGGCATTTTTTCTTTTTTGTTTTTTTGTTTTGTTTTTTGTTTTAAACCGTGAAGCGTAATCCGCATCCCCTCAGGGGGCTTTGGGATGAACCGACAGAACAAAGCACGGAATAAGCAGGACAACAATTCCGCACAAACGGAACCAGCACGCTGGTTCTCGCCACTGCTTGGGAGAACGGTCACTAAGCGAAATCGTGCGATACGAAAATCCCCCACGTCGTATCGGTGAGACGGGGTGGAGAAACGGGGAAGAGGAGGAGGAGGAGGAGGAGGAGGAGGAGGAGGAGGAGAAGGAAAACTGAGCAAAGCCTTGCGGGTCATCGCCAACCGACTCCGCCGAGTCCGGGCGCCCAGCAGACCGACGGCGTGCTCCCAGACCTATGGTCTGCGTCAAGCGGCGCGGGCCACGGACCTTCGCCTGAACCTTAGCTCGGGCCGAAGGCGCCGCGCGCGGGCGACGCCACGGAGAGGAGACGACGGCAGCAGCGGCAGAGAGGGGGGGAGGGGAAGGAAAGGAATGAAGAAGCGGCGCGGGCACTCACAAGTAGTAGGTAGAAGAACAGGTGAGAGTACAAGTAGACGTAGCACGTGTGCTGGTAGCCGACCCCGGGGTGGGTGGAGGCCGAGGGGTGCCTGGGGACGGGTACCGCTGTACCGGAACGCCCCGGAATCCAACTGCGCAACATCCCGCACCCGGGCTTTGCATTGAATTCTGCTTCGCCGCGCCGCACTGGTGCCAGAGCTGGGGTTGGAGACGGAATTGGAGGAGCTGGAGTCGGAACCGGCGTTGGCGCCGGGGTTGGTGGCGGCTTCGGCGCATGCGCCAGGTGAAACGGAGGCGGAATCGGAGCCAGCCAAGGAGCTGGAGTCGGAGTGATGATGGTGTTGCCTGAGGCGCTGGTGGAGAGAAGTATGCCGGTGGCTGTGCTGGTCGGAGCGGGAGTCGTTTTTTTTCTCCATTTCGTCTATTGCCACCGCTGCCAGTCCTCCTCGTCCTCCTTCCCCTCTCTTCCTGTCTTCTTCGGCGGCGAGTACGGCCTATATCCACGGATACGCCGGTGCAGCCAAAATTTGTACAATGGCCCCGGGCTGGCACCAACAAGTCGGTAACCGTTTGGTCCAGACCTCCCGGGGGCGTGTTCGGTGAGCTGGTCGATGCGGGAGTCGGTGTGCTGGTCGGAGCGGGAGTCGGTAACCGTTTGGTCCAGACCTCCCGGGGGCGTGGTCGTTGAGCTGGTCGATGCGGGAGTCGGTGTGCTGGTCGGAGCGGGAGTCGGTAACCGTTTGGTCCAGACCTCCCGGGGGCGTGGTCGGTGAGCTGGCCGATGCGGGAGTCGGTGTGCTGGTCGGAGCGGGAGTCGGTAACCGTTTGGTCCAGACCTCCCGGGGGCGTGGTCGTTGAGTTGGTCGATGCGGGAGTCGGTGTGCTGGTCGGAGCGGGAGGCGGTAGCCGTTTGGTCCAGACCTCCCGGGGGCGTGGTCGGTGAGCTGGCCGATGCGGGAGTCGGTGTGCTGGTCGGAGCGGGAGTCGGTAACCGTTTGGTCCAGACCTCCCGGGGGCGTGGTCGTTGAGTTGGTCGATGCGGGAGTCGGTGTGCTGGTCGGTGCGGGGGTCGGTAACCGTTTGGTCCAGACCTCCCGGGGGCGTGGTCGGTGAACTGGTCGATGTGGGGGTCGGTGTGCTGGTCGGAGCGGGAATCGGTATCCGTTCGGTCCAGACCTCCCGGGGACGGATACGGTGGGTGATGTGATGAGGGGGGCAGGATTTGTCCGCCCCCTGTCGCGTCAGCCGCCCCGCGTCGAAGTCGGAGTCGGAATTCGGGCGGGCGCTGAGGTCGGAGCCAGTAGCTGCCGTGCAGTGCACGAGAGGATAATCGGCGCGGGTGTCGGAGCCCAGCCTGCGTTACCACAGTGGCCCCTCCCCCGTGCCAGAGAGGCCCGACCAAACCGTATGTATGCCCTGGGATGACCTCCGGCTCGGAGTCGAAACGGTGTGGTTGCAGCCGGCGTGGCATCTAGTCCGGCGTCGATCAGCACGCCAATGCAGCAGCAGATCGACGGAGGAGCGCGCGCTGCAGATCTAAGACACCGGCAGACGCGGTGCACAAATTGCGGAGCATGCAGCGTGCAGCCGAACGCGGCGCGGGGCCGAGCCCGCCGAGTGAATGGAAAAAGCTCTGGCTGACGAAGACAGCCCAAATTCGGCAGTCCAGAATGGAGGCCAGCCGTCGACGATAGTTAAGCACGCGGCCGTCGACGACAAAATCTTACCATTTCATTCTCGTTATTTGGCCAGGGCGTGCGCCGACTTCGTGGCCGAGCAACCTCCTCACTACAAGCTGCGTTTGTGTTGCGACGCAACGCGCGATCAAGGCGCGCAAGGTTTCAAACTAATTTCTGTCAGGTGGCTGGGGGCCCACTATGCCCGCAATGCGCGGCGCGAGACTTGCGTGCCCATCGCTTTTGCTTTGGCGTCCAGAGAAAATGCACAAGCCGTGAAAGTTACAATGCAAAATGCAGTATCAGCAAAGCAAAAATTCCATTCGCTGGACTTGGTATCCAAAACTGCAGCAATATACTTGGATGGCGGGGCTGCCATGGCGAACGTATGCGCGGAGATCTTCCCCGGCGCTACTGACGTCCGATACTTGGAACATGTCAAAAGAGACATTACGCAAAATGGGAAACAATGGACGAACCGAAATTTTGGCAAGCTAGGACGAGAGCGATGTCATGCTATTATTGGCTCAGGAGACGTTGCAGGAATTCCGGAGTATCTACCGGCCCTCATTTCTGGAGCCCGTATGGAATAATCGGAAAAGTAGGAAATTACGGAAATCCGATGAATCTGGCAACGTATCACTATCGTGGCTTCTTGCTGCTCCGAGTATTGAAAAATCCTGTTAGCCAGCGTATGCCCCAACCAATGAGTTCTTGCAATGTATGCGGTGCAATCTAGATGGTGCAGTCAATGTGGTGCAATCCAGGTGTTGAAATCCATGCGGTGCAATCTAGGTGGTGAAACCCATGTGGTGCAATCTATGTGGTGCAAAGCAGTGCAATGCAAAGCTATGCAAAGCAATGCCAAGCAGTGCCAAGCAGTGCGAAGCGATGCGAAGCGGGCGGCGACAAGGCGGCGGGCCGGTGACGAGGCGACGAGGCGGCGACCACATGACGGCCAGAGCGGCCCACAGGCTCAGGCGACGGACGGGCGGTGACGAGGCGACGACGGCGACCACACGGCGGCCAGAGCGGCCCGCAGGCCCAGGCGACGGGCGGCGACGGGCGGCGACGAGGCGGCAGCGGCGGCCACGTGGCGGCCAGAGCGGCCCGGAGGCCGAGTTCCTTATGAGACAAGAAAGAGCCCTTAGGTGCAAGCACTGCTTGGGGAAGATCGGCGGATGTCTCGGGCTGCCGACGCCAGACCCCGCCCCCCAGGTGGTGCCTCAGTGAGGTCCCCGGGGTCCCCCCCCCCGCTGGCAGGACTTTTTCGTGCACGCGGACGAGGGCTTCACAGGCATCGCCTCCACACTGCGCCCTGCCAGGCCGTCTGCCGTCGCACGGATGAAAAACCCGCCAGGCCACCTGCCACCTGCCACCTGCCACCTGCCAGCAAGCGTGCAGGCTTGCACTCGGACAACTCGCGCCCCCGGCCGTCCCTCCTCCCTTCCCTCTGTCATCCCTCGCCCTTCAACCTTCAATCTTCGGAGCAAGCAATCACGCCTCAGTAGTACGTGCCGTCGTTCTTGCCCTGGGCGTCGAGGATGCCCTTCCAGTAGTCCGCCTCGTATGCCTTCTTCGCATTCGTGTCCACCTGCACCTCGATGTCGCCGCCGAAAAAGCCCGAACGCGCCTCGAAGATCGCGAGCTTCTTCTTCTCGATCACCAGGCCAGTGAGGGGGCCGATGATGGGCGGGCTCGGGCACCAATCGATGAGCTCACCGTCGCCGACCTTCCACGACGAGCCGTGCAGCGGGCACACGATCGTGTCGCCGATGACGTCGGCGCCCTCGCTCATCGGAGTGCCGAGGTGGGGGCACAGGTTGCCCACGCAAAAGAGCTTGCCGGCCTCCGTCTTGCCCACCAGCACGTCGACGCCGCCCAAGTTGACCGCCCTCAGCTCGGTCGGGGCAAGGTCGCTCTCCTGGGCATGCAACAAGCGGGTCCTGAGGGAAACGGGCCCTGGAGACAGAGAAAAAAACAAACAACATACAAATATATAAAACAACGATTCAAAACGAACGAACCGAAAACAAACAAACAACAACCATAAATACTAAAGCTACGAACACAAAACGAAGACTGGAGACTGAAACAAAAACAGGCAGGACCAGCTCTTCGCCCTGAGTCGTTTTTTGACAATCCTGGGGCCGTTGACGGGCCCTGGGAGGCCAAGCAAAACGGAAAACCTAAGGACCCGTTTCCCTCAGAACCCGTTTGCTTCATGGCGATCTCCCTGAAGCCGGTCTTGATCCACGCGAGTGCGGGCAAGATGGTCTGCGTGGTGTACCTGGGGATGCGGCGCGACCCTCTGGAGATGAGGCGATGAGGCGATGAGCCGATGCCGCGCGTCCCAAAAGGACGGCCTCTTGGATCCTCTTCGAGGCCCTTTTTGGGGGCTCGGGGGGGGGGCCCTCGGGCGGCCTCTTGGAGGCGCAGCGGTCCTGGCAGGAGATGGCGATGCCGCTGGGCCCCGGACCTCCCGGGGTGCGTCCCGACCAGGGTCTCGAGGCGAACCTGGCCGTGGCGACGGGGGCCTCCCAGGAAGGCCCAGGCAGGAGGAAACGGTGCCCTCGGGCAGCGGTATCGGTGCCTTGCCGTCATCTGAGTACTTGGCCGCCGTCCTCGAGGATCTGCCACGTCCCGCCGTGCTGGGCGCCACGAACGTCAGACTGCTGCGGAGCACCAGCAGGGTGAGCGCGGCGACGGCGCAAGCACGGGCGGCGCGCATGGCTGGGCAGTGCTTTGAGGCCCTGAGATCCAGGCGTTGCAGTTTTTTCAAACCGGGCGTTTTTGGCAAGTCTCGGGCCCGAGGACCATCATAGATCGATCCGGCTCGACAAGTGCCGCAGAAAGATGAGGTCTTCGGCTCCAGTAGCGATGTTTCACGATGCCGCACTCTTGTTCGCAACGTCGCCTCTCAAGGGAGGACACGGCGGTGGCCTCTGAGCAGAGGAAGCAGAACGCGCACCAGCATACACTTTCGGAAGCCTTCGCGGATCTCTTGGCTCGGCGATGGACCACCCTGGCGGCGCCTCCAGCGCCGTCACTGGCGCGCCCCGCGCGCCGAGGAGGGCGGTGCGGCGCCGATCCGAGGGATCCGCGCGGACCTCCTGAAAACGGATGCCCTCGTGCCGCTGGTCCTCCTCCAGCGGAGGCTTGGGCGCCAAACAGGCCGGGGGGCTCCCTCCACCTTCTGGGCCGGGGTGGCAGCGGAGGGCGCCGCAGGAGAATCTGGTTGACCTCTGGCCAGGGGAGGCCCGGCTGCTCCAGCGAGCGGCTCCCGGGCGGCCAGGGCGGCAGAGGGCCCACTGGCACTGTCCGCGCGTGTGGCATGGCCCCCCCCCCATCCATACGCACTCCGCATCCATGCGGCCCTGCTGCCAATTCCGACCAGCCACAACTGGGGGAGCTGTGGTCCTTGCCCCCCCTGGGGGAACCCATCGCCTCGACGATCTCTCGAGAGGGGTGTCGAAATCGACGGGTCCCCCAGGGGGGTAAGGACCACAGCTCCCCCAGTTGTGGCTGGCCTGCAATTCGATGCGGTCAGGAGCTGTGGCTTACCGCGCCGCGGCGGCGGCCCTGGCGACACGCTGCGCCTTGCGAGCGGATGGCGCGCCGCTCCGCTCCACGGCTGGGAAAGGCTCGGGGCGGTGACAGCTGGAGGCCGCGGCGAGGTTAGCGTGTCGCGACAAAGCGCATGGGACCAGAACCGGCGGAGCGACACGCCAAGCAAGAGCTCCCGACCGTAGTCTTCGATCAGCTGCACGTGCTTGTCAATCTGGCAGGCCCCCTTCCCGGACCACGTTTTTGCCTCATGACACCACTTGCGTTGTATGTGCAACTCACGCTGTAGCTTGGACCGAGCTCCTCCTCGATACACCTGCTGGAACTGGCATGGCGCAAACAGGTCCTGAGGGAAACGGATCCCGGACCAGCCTTTCGCCCCGAGTCGTTTTTTTGTGTGACGGCCCCAGGACCCTCGGAGGGCCCAGGGAAGCCACCCCAAAACAGAGAACACCCCCGGACCCGTTTCCCTCAGGACCAAGTTGCCTGATGGCGATGGACAGGACCTCGAATAGCAGGAGGAGGTTGAGGAGGAGGAGGAGCCCCCCCCCCCAGAGCCGCAGCGAGGGGAGGGGCGGCGGGAGCAGGGGTGGGGGTGGGCATCGACAGGGAGGAGGGGATGCGCCGAGGGGAGAGCAAGGGGAGGGGAGGGGAGGGGAAGAGCGGAGGGGGAGGGTGAGGGGAGGGAGGGGAAGGGAAGAGGAGGGGAGGGGGAAGGGGAGGGGAAGGGGAGAGACAGCGCGTGTATGGACATCGCTCGCAAGCTCGGTTTGTCGTTTGGCGCCCTGTTTGTTGACCTTCAAACGGCCTTCGCAGGCATTGCCCGCATGATTGCTTTCACTGCGCGGTCGTCCGTGGACGATTTTGTGGCGAAACTTCTGAAAGGGGGGTTCACCCTAGAGGAGGCGAGGGATGTCGCTGAAGGGGTGATGGCTTACGAGTATCGGCTTCACTCCGGTGGCTCTGAGCACTTCATTGAAGGGGAATTGGGACACACAAATAAATACACACAAATAAAAAAATCCCCATATTTTCCTATATTTTCTGGGTTGTTGTCTTCCCCCCCACTTCCCATATTTTCCAATATTTTCTGGGAATCGCCGATTAGTTGTGTCTGTGTGTTTTTTCCCCTCCTGATTCATGGCCATGCTCAGCAAACTTCATCGTCAGTCGTGGTTTGCCGCTGAAGGTGTATCTGGTTGCGTCGAGGCTTGGTCTGGGTCTCTTGCTGGCAACGCGCTGGGCGATCTTGCGTTTTTGCCGGCGTTCAGTCGCGTGATGCGCGCTGTTGATGAGCGTCTTAGCGCTGAAGGCCTCCTGCATGAGATATCGGCCGAACCGTCCCTGCCAAAGTTTGGTAAAACTGAGAAGGCCAACATCGGCAGTGCCATGGTCGCTCTGGGGCCGGCTGGATACGTCGACGACGTCGTTCAGCCCATATTGGCACCAGCTTGCCAAATCATTTCGAAGATGAGCGCGTGCGCGAGTGTGTACAATGATGTCTTCACCCGTTTTACGCTCATCATCAATTTCAAAAAGGGCAAGACAAAGGCACTCTTCAGGTTCGCAGGGCCCGGCGCTGCCGAGGTGAAGCGCCAGTTGTTCGCTGACGGCGGCGCTTTGATCACTTCTACATCCATGGGCTCTGAGCGCCAACCCGTGGCTACCTCGCAATACAAGCGCGTGGGTACCATCACGTGTTGCACAGACACAATGCAACCTGAGATCACTGCGAAGATGAATGCAATGAGAGGGACTTTTGAACAGATCCGCCCAAGCATTCTGAGCCGTGCTTCGGTGGATGTCGAGAAGTGCATCATGGTATGCCAAGGGTTTCGGTTTACTAAGGGTCTTCACCAGGCAGGGACATGGCCATCGTCATATTCCGGTGAAATGGCTTGGGTGCACACTTCTATCATGCAGGTGCATTCTTCGATTTTTCGTGACGACTGCGAGGGTGCAGAATCACCTGCTCACGCTTTCATTGCCTCGCACGACTCTTTTGTCGCCCCAGCGGTCATGATACTGTACATGCGGCTGTGTCCTTTTGTGAGGGTCTGCGTTGGAGGCGCCCCTGAATTGTGCGTTGCGTTAGCCCACGCTGTTGGTCTGCGGAGGTCGTGGTTGCAGGCTGTTGTTGACGACTTTTAATCATGTTGTCGTCCACGTCGGAGGCCTTTGCCTCTTTCAGTGCCGCGTCGCTCGAAGACTGGATCGCCGTGGTTAGGGACAACCCGCGGCGCTTCAAGGAAGCCCTCCGGGATGCTAAGTCGGAAAGGTCCGTCAATGATGTATCCGCGTGGGCTACGACGAAGCGGGTTGCTGAGGTGGACACGACGTTCGCGTGCACCAGGTGCGATTGCCACTACAATTCTCGACAGCAGTTGGCCCAACATGCTTTTAATGTGCAAGGGGTCGGACAGGTAACCTGGGAATATCTTGAGACGGACTATTGCCCCGTATGTCTGCAATGTTTTCATTCGAGAAAGCGTGTGATCAAGCATGTCGAAGGGAAAACCAGGCGTTGCCGTCATGTTATTTTGGGAACTTTCCAGAGGATGCCCCCGCATGTGGCAGCTGGGCTTGACCGGCAGGACGCCGACAGAGCGCGTAAAATGGCCAGGCAAGGACGCAGGCGACACCATGTTGACACTGGCGTCGAATGGCTGAGTGGGCCGCTGATCAGGGAAGCTTACGAGGCTGGCATCAGCCACAGATCCCTCCTTTCCTGTCCTCTTCTCCCGGCCCCACAGATGGGCGAACAGGGGCCCGTGCAACTCGTGAGTCTGAGCGAGCAGGCGCCTCTCTGACAGGTCATGCCGAGCCGTCGTGGCTACAGGTGGCACCTTTTCACACGCATGTGTCGCCCAATCGTACTGGCTGGCCTTTCCTTGATGCATCTCTGGCTCCAGACGCTCCCCTGAAGCAGTGCAAACGAAACGAACGGAAGGGGAAGGGGAAGGGGAAGGGGAAGGGGAAGGGGAGGGGAGGGAAGGGAAGGGCGGATGGGGAGGGGAACGGCGGAGAGGGAGAGAGGGGTGGTGGGGCCTGCCCCCAGCTGGGGTGCTGAGACGGCGGGGGTCCGGATGGGGAGGGGGATGGGGATGGGGATGAGGATCTGGGGTCGGTCAAACGATACTGAAGATGTCCCATGCCTGGGCCTGAAGTCCCGGCCCTCTCCCCGGGGCCCGGCCTTGCCGAGCCGCTCTGCCGACGGTCCCGGGGGGGCGGCGAGGGCCCCCAGAGGCCGCGAACGGCCAAAAGCTGGCCGCCGCGACTCTCCGCGCCTCGCTGCGCGCCTCGCGCCCCCGCGACGCCCCCAGTGGCCCCCCCCCCCCCCCCCCTCCGCGAGGCCCCCGTTGGGCCGCTCTCCGCTCTGGGCCGCCTCCCTTCGCGCCTCGCCCTCCCCGCGGCGCCCCCACTTGGAGAAGGGCAGCCTCCCTGGCCCAGGCCGCGGCGCGCGAAGCGCGGCTGTCTTCGCGACCCTGCGGGAGACCCAGAGGAGGAGGAGGAGGAGGAGGAGGAGGAGGAGGAGGAGGAGGAGGAGGAGGAGGAGGAGGAGGAGGAGGAGGAGGAGGAGGAGGAGGAGACTGAGGAACCAGAGGAGGATGGGGGAGGAGAGGAGGAGGAGGAGGAGGAGAAGAAGGAGGAGGAGGATGAGGAGGAGGAGGACCGCGATTTGTTCCACGGCGCGAGCACGTCTGGGAAGCACGCGCATCAGCAGTCGACCTACAAATCCTCCAGGGCGAGGGGCAACGAGAGGGGGGGGACTGGGAGCATCGACCTGGAGTCGGCCATACATCGCCGACATGTCGGCGACAGGCGTCCCGACAGCGAGCCCGCGCGAACTTGAGCGGGGTGTGCTGTCGGGCCCCTTTCGGCGATGAATCGGCGATTGGGAGTCGATGCATCCCCACGCCTGGGCCAATTAACGCCCCCTGACTGGCCTCGGTTTTCGGTCGAATCTCGGGACTCTGGCGGCCGTTCTGGGAAGATCTGGGGAATCTCGGCGAGGCGCCGCTGCTGGAGCGCATCCCGAGGCCAGAAGGCCGCCGAGAACCGACGAAAAAGCCCGAAAATCTCGGACCACGAACCCCCTGAGCCCATCCCGCCCTGCTGTTGCCACTGAGCTTCCCATGGCTCGGACGTCCATGCTTTCTCGCAATATGATCCTCGACCCCCAGAGGTCTCGACCTCTTTCCTGGGACCGACTTCTCATCCCGAGTCGTTCTCGGACGGCCCCGGCGCCCGGCGAGGGCCCCCAGAGGCCGAACACAGCGGAAGACCTTCCCGCGGTGATGTTTGCAGTGCTCCTCGCCGAGAACAAGAGGCACACGTCCTAGCGATGCCAGGTGAGGGGCAACGGTAGGGGGCAACGGTAGGGGGGAACGGGCATGCTCGGCGGCGAGCGAGGGGGGAAGTGAGAAGGGGCGGGCCTTCTCAGAAGGCTCGGAAGTCCCCCAGCCTTCTGAGAAGTTTTCTGAGCCTTCCCCGAAGACAGAAACAACTTCTCAGAAGGCGCGAGGGCTTCTGAGAAGCCCCGCCGCCTTCCGAGAAGGCCTTCGCCTTCTCATCCCCCCCCCTCGCTCGCCGCCGACGACATGTGGGTGGGGGGGGGGAGAAATGTCCACCCTGGGATCGGCGCTATACGTCGCCGATAGATCGGCGATCGGCCCGCGGCAGTGAACAAAACACCGCGCCCTCCTCGGCGGGCCGGGGCCTCCCGCCGCGACTCGGGCTCGTGGCCCAGGCCGCGAGCAGAGAGGCGCTCGCCCGAGCGACGCCCAAGGGAGCGGCGCTCG